CAGCCGCCAGCACGTTGCCGCCAACGGCGCGAAACCACGTCGTAATAAAGGTCGGCATGGTGGGTGACGCACAGATCGGCAAGACGAGCTTGATGGTCAAGTACGTCGAGGGCAGCTGGGACGAGGACTACATCCAGACACTGGGTGTCAACTTTATGGAGAAGACAATCTCCATCCGCAACACGGAAATCACTTTCTCCATCTGGGACTTGGGCGGCCAGCGCGAGTTCGTCAACATGCTGCCGCTCGTATGCAACGACGCCGTCGCCATTCTGTTCATGTTCGACTTGACGCGAAAGAGCACACTCAACAGCATCAAGGAGTGGTACCGACAGGGACGTGGGTTCAACAAGACAGCCATTCCCATTCTCGTGGGCACCAAGTACGACCACTTTGTCAACTTTCCCAGGGAAGACCAGGAGGAAATCTCCAACCAGGTGCGTTGACTGCGCCCTCCGTATCGAAGGCCGTTACTAATGAGTCGTCCCCAGGCTCGTCGCTTTGCCAAGGCAATGCGCGCCGCCCTCATCTTCAGCAGCACAAGCCACAGCATCAACGTGCAAAAGGTGCGTCCTGCCGCCTACCGCGAGCCCTCTACCTTCGCTAGCTGTGACGCTAACCCCTCCACCTCAGATCTTCAAGATTGTCCTGTCCAAAGCCTTCGATCTCAAATGCACGATTCCTGAGATCGAGAACGTCGGCGAGCCCCTCCTGCTCTACCAAAGCTGCTGATCGCCAAGGGGAGCTGCCGACTTCCCGCGATCAGCCAGCTACGCCGCTAGCTACAACCCGCCGATGCTTGCCTCTAAATCGCATGCACACGGATCATGACCACGCCCGCCAATCATGGCGTTCTACGAAGAATCATCGCTGCCGGGCTCCGCCACCCGGTTTTGGCATGCCTTCACCCGCGTTCAACGGTAACTGCAGGTACTCTACCACGCCATACAACGGCCGGACCGGACAGCGTTGACCAGAATCAAAACCCACCACCATTCCAATCACCAGGGGCTCAACCACCCTGCACCATTTCCTTTGTTCACAAATCGCCGCGCGCCCCTAGAATACAGAGCTTATAGTGTTTAAGTCGCAATCCGCAGGCCCCAGAGGCCACACATTTGCAATTATTGGCAGGAAGGGAATGGAGGGAAAGGCCGGGCAGGAAAGGCCGGTAGGCAGCATGCATTGAGGCAGGAGGGCGAACAAAGCATGGGAATGATACGCTCCAGGGAGAAGAAGAGAGAGCAGGAAAACAGAAGAGGAAGTCTCGTTCGGACGGAGACCTCTTTTTCCGTCGGTTCGTCTTTGTTTGTTGCTGGTGGACAGGAAACCCGCCTGTGTATATTTTTTTTCGGACGGCCAGCTCCTGCCGATGAGCGAGGAGAACGAAATCTTGCTGATGCTTTTGTGCTGCCGGGTTCTTGAACTGTGTTTTGCCGCGAGATGCGCGAGGTGCTCTGAAGTCTAGTTGGAGAGTTGCTGCTCTCGACGCGTCTTCGCTGGGAGCAGGCCTGAGCTCAGCTAGGTGTGTTCACCACGGTTGACGACGCTTCTGGGCATTGTTGCTGTGCATTGCGACATGCTTGACGGACCTTTGTTGGATGCCTTTGCAATGTCACAACGGGACGAACAGCAGTGAGCAATGGGGATCCATTGGTTTCATGGCTGAACGTAGGCATCATAGTCAACTTTTACCCCTTTATGATGTGACTCACCTCTGGATGGGAAAAGGAACCCCCATTGGGATTGGGCCATATTCCACATCTAATACACTTGGAAGAAGTGGCTGACACACGTTAAAAGGTAGAGTTCGTATAGATACCCTGACAGCCCCTTTCGCTAGTACTGGAAAACCGAACACCTCCGTCATCAAGTCGTTATCCGTGACAAACCTGGAATCCAATAGTTCATGACCCGTCATCATGTTTCACCACGCTTGGTTGTTCTAGCAATGCACTTAGACAGCTACAGAAAGGTCTAGCATCTAAGAATATTGATAGCTCCCTACTTCGCCCCCTCTAGCAGCACAGACCCCTCCGAAAAGCCCTTGCAAAGCTTCTCCGCAATGCAAATTTTCACGTGGCAGAGATGCGGTCGTCTTCAATATCGTGAACCTGCCCCTTCTCCGATCGCTTCACCATCCCAGGGTCCGGCGCATGGTGCTCGGGGGAGATGACAGCAGGCGCGACGACGACAGCCGGGCGTTCCACCCCGGGTCCGGCAACGAGCGGCTTCCTCACGACACGGGCGGGACTCTCGTGACGTTCGGGGATCGAAGACAGCCTCGTCGATAGGGGGCTGCCTATCTCCGACGACCGTGAGCGTGACGACCGCACCGACCTGGCCGACCGCGGCGGCATTGTACTACTCATCGACGGAAAGGCCTGGGGCGACAGCGTACTTCCTGATCGTGAACGAACGTGAACCGGCGCAGAGGGTGGATTCGCGCAGCAGCTTGACGGGGGCCGGCACGCGAAGGCGCTGAGGCAGATCCAGAAGAGCCAGCAGAGGAAGGCCCAGAAGCCGCGGCGGTGGGCGTACTTCTGGACCCGGGCGTCAATTTGGATGGGGACGCAGAAGCAGACTACACCACCATGAGAACGAGAATGTCGTTGGTCGTGGGCAGGAAAGTTTCGGACTCACGGTGGCTGTGGGTTGCTTTGCGCCTCGACGAGGAGGTTGGCCTGGCTTTTTCCCGGCTGTATTGGCGCGAGCTGCCTCGCTCGAGATCCGGAACGGCTCTGTTTGGGTCGGCAGCCATGTAGAAATCGTACAGATGGCTGATTGCGTCGTTTTCACTCATACGGACGCTGCTGTTCATCCTAATATCATGGGTCTTGTTGAGGAAGCATAATGCTGGGATCAACGGTATATCTGACGAACTCAGGTACCATACATACAAGTACTGCAGACACTGTAAAGGATCACCTGGCCCATTGTCTGATCCTCTGATGAGGGCAAGTATTATGAGGCCGGGGTGGAAGGTGCAACGGGTGTCCTCTCAGAGAAGGAGTGATGCTCAGATTGTGAGAACCGGCAATCACCTTGGTGTTCACTTTCGAAAGCCAGGTTTGAAGGCACACAATCGCCAAGCTGATATGTTCGATAGGGAAGAGACTAAAGTCCTTTGTGTTCGATCATGACGCAACACGTTGGAGTCAGCTCAGTTCTTGGTACAGAGCTGCCGGAGGCTGCTGGCTCATCATATTCGCGTATTGTAAGAGAGCATTGAAATCAAAATGCTCTGCTGCTCACCTTACCCAGGTACCCGGGTACATGGTAGGCAGGTAGCTGGTTATCAAGGAGCAGGGACGACTCAAACAAGGTCGAAGCTGTGAACGTCAGAGGCGGGGTCTCCTGGCGCCCCTTCCGCCCCACCTGCTCATTGCACCTGCCTATCGGCTGGTTCCAGCTCCTTCCGCCGCACGCCGATGCGGCTCAGTATACCTGCCTGGAGCTCTGATTTGACCCCACCAACCAACGATAGGCCTCGAATCGACCTGACGAACGCCGCCTACAGTTCCTCCCTCCCAGCAAACCGAAAGCTCAATAGATATCCTGCTCCACGACCCTTCAGTAACTACAACTCGATTAGCCAGTATCAGCAAGCCCGTCCTCCGCATGGTCCTATCGACAGACGGAGAGCCCTCTCTTTGACCCTGCGAACCCGATCCCCTCCCCACCGTGGTTCCGCCTCACCCCGCCTTCGCCGCCATGACGACCACGGTGAACGCGACGCCCCAGGCGGTCATGTCGCTGGTCACGAAGCTGTCGGAATCAGACCCCGACTATCGCTTCATGGCCCTGAATGATCTGATTGCTCTTTTCGAGAAAGGAAAACCCGACTTTCTCCACCATGACTACAATGTTGCTGCCCGCACTGTCGACAGCATCATCAGGACTCTAGATGACCAGAACGGCGAGGTCCAGAACCTGGCGATCAAATCGTGAGAACTGCCCGCTCCTTCCCCTTCACTCATGGTGAGACTTCTGGCTAATCAACGGTGTCCAGTCTCGGCCCGCTCGTTACCAGAGTGCCTTCCAACATTATCGCCCCCATGCTCGAGAAGCTCTCGTCGATAAAGCTTAGAAACTCTGTCGACAATGCGGTTCCGTCGCTGGCCCTCCGGGCCGCCATCATGTCGCTGCCCCGCCCAACACCCGGCGTGCCTGTCACAAGGGATGTCCAGGAAGCATACACAGCCGTCAGCCGTGTCCTGATACCCCGCATGGTCGGTCCCGGCAAGCTTCAGCCCTCACAATCCAAGGTTCCTCTCCCGAACATGCCGGAAGGCATTCTGCAGAGCGACGCGGACCTGAATGCTGAGTCGGTAGACGTGCTTATTGAGATTGTGAGATCGTTCGGTCCAATGCTCCTGCCCGCCGAAATCGACGCCATGCAGGACACAGTCATCAGCATTCTCGAGCACGACCGCGGCTCATCCGTGGTCAAGAAGAGGGCCGTGGTGGCTGTGTCCATCCTCGCGTCACATCTGTCGGAGCAGCTCCTCGAGCAGATGGTCTCTAGGATGGCTGCTGTTCTTGCGAAGCCCGACATCTCCGCCGTCACCCGCCGATTGTACATCACCATCAGCGGCTCGGTCGCTCGTTCGACCCCCCACCGCTTTGGACCACACTTGCAAACCCTCGCACCGTTCCTGTTCAAGGCTCTGGGCGAGGAGGAGCTCGCCGAGCACCTCGAGGCCATCAGTGATGGCGACGACTTGGGCCAGGACTTTAACGATGTCCGAGAGGCTGCGCTGACCGCCTTGGAAGCCTTCCTTGCCTCATGCCCGGCCCAGATGGAGGCTTTTACAAATGAAACGATAATCGCCACTCTTCGCTTCCTCCGATATGATCCCAACTCGGCTGTGGATGATGACGAAGAAGAGATGGATGTTGATGAGGAAGATGATTTTGAAGACGAAGAAGACTTTGACATGGGAGGCGAGTTTGACGATGACGACGATGCCAGCTGGAAGGTTCGTCGAAGCGCAGCAAAGGCTCTGTACACCGTTTATCTCCACCAGAGGCAGCGGAGAGCTCCTCGATAAG